GGAACCGAGTGAGACGGAGCATTGAAAAGAAGGCTCTGAAGGCCGCACTCAAACAGTCTGTTTGTGCACCGTTTCACCCACTTTCCAAGTCCTCCCTTGGCGCGGATCCCCCCCTGACCCCCCCGCAAGCGGGGGGAACCACAGCGTCCAAAGTACGGACAAGGAAAGTGGGTGACATGGGGACGCACAAACAGTGGCTGAAAAGTGGACTCCCTTCAAAAAACATTCGCGGCAAATATTTTATTTTGGTAAACGGGGTGAGGGTGGGAAAGGTCTGCCCCAAAAATTTTTGGATTTTGCAAAAAAAGACAAAAATGATGTTTGGAAAATATAATAATGTAAACTATTGTTACATAATATTAATTAAATAACTAAATAAATAGTTTTATATATTTTTTATCATAATATTTACTATTTGTTATGATAATGTTATAATAATATTAATAGATTGTTTTTTTGTTTTTTATTCAGATCTATTTTTAATGACATGAACTAAAACATCAATAAAAACAACATATTATCAAATTAAAAAACAACTTGCTGTTTATCTAGTCAACACCGACATACATCAAATCAAATTGAGTTTGTTATGGTTCGTTTTTATATTTTTAATATACGTCTTATTTATGCAACAAAATTTGTTATTGTATGTTTGATATATTATTATTTAATAAAATAAATTTGGGGTTCTGAAATATAGTAAAATCTATTGAACGCGGCACTTCTGAATCGCGCAACTCTCAATAGAAAACAATTTAGACTGAATCCAAAAATCAAGTTTTTTATAGAAAAAGTTTTGATGTTTAATTGGCGAAAAATCCCGTTCTTGAGAGAACAAAAATTACCACATTCCTGCTCTTGAAAAGTTTGTTTGTGTTTTTGAAAAAAAGTGTTGCTATTTTTAACCTCAAAAACAAATCTTAGGTAATTGAGTCCTCATTTTTATTATTTTTGACTAAGTTTTGGGTCATTTTTCGGTTTTTCGGCCAAGAAGGGGTTTTTGGTCTTTTTTAACAACTTTTTTAAAGAAGGCATTTTTTGATATTGTTATTATTCTAATAAAAAATTGGTTTTCGGCCAGTTAAGTGTTAACTCGCCAACAACCCAATACTTTTTTTAACAGTTTTTTTTAAAATTTGTCCCAAAACTGTTTAAATAATTTTGAAATATTATTAGGTGATTTTCATGAAAAAATAAATAAAAACAAATAATAGACCAAAGGCTAAGTGATATGAATTATTTCTTTAATAATAAACTATAAACTAAGAATGAAAAATAATAATATATAGTCACCCGCTAAAAGCAATAAAAACACGACAAATGGTCTAAAGAAACTATAATTTATTATTTTAAACTATAATTGTAAAAAACAGTGAAAATAACACAAATAACATTAAAAAAACAAAAAACAAAAAAATCACATTAAATCAATTTTTGTCAAGCCTTTTAATTGGTTTAAAAGATAAAGGCAATCAATTAATACATGACACTTTGGGGTGTTTTGTCAATCCAGTTGACTATGACAGCTTGTTTAAAAGCAATAATATTAAAAAGAGGTGTTGTAACCACAAATAAAGAATCCACCAATATCATTAACTATTAGTCTGTTTCCGAGTTCAATATTGTGAAAAAATGTTTTTTCTAAAACAAATTACCATCCACATTTTCCTTCTCGACTTCTTCTTGAAAAAGCAAATTTACAAAACCGTCTTTTGCTTTAAAAGAAGACATTCTACTTTTAAGCCCACCAAATATCCCCAAATCAAGAACTTGAAGAAAATGAGAAGCATACTGAGTTAAGCTAACAAAGGTTATGTTATTTTGAGTGAGCAACACAATGAATCTGATACATCTAAAGAATTGGTTGAATTGTCGAAAACCATCCCAGTTGCAGGTTTGGTTTTTTGGTATTGTCCAAATAAATGCACATGTACGGCATTATCCATTAAAATTGTTTTTCATTTCACCTTTAAACTATTTTTGACAATGTATTATAATTTAGTAAAATTTTAGTTTATTTTGAAATACTTTCGATATAAAGAAATTAATGTCAAATTGAAACACAATCTAAAATCATAATTTCAAAAAACTATAATATGGTTTCTTTAGACCATTTGTCGGAAATTTATACCTTTTAGCGGGTGACTATATATTATTATTTTATGTAAAATAGTAAGTCATACTGTTTGTGATCAAAACTCAGCTAATAAAACGCCGAAAAATCAAATAAAATCAATTGAAAATCAATTTATCTAAAAATAAATAAATACGTATTGGTTCTAAAATATATAAAATAAACACATATTTTAAACATCCACGTATTGTTTATTTTTTCGATTTTATAGATAATTTAAAGAAAGCATAAATACTTTTTATTCACAATTAAATACAATGTCGTTTTCATCATCTCGACGTTCTCCGAGAAATAGTCAGAGTAGAATTGTAGAAACCGAAATCGAACTATTAAATCAGAAAACACAAGAAGCTATCCAACAACCCATTCAACAACATTCTGAACATCAAAGATTTTTCTTTGAGTACATGGTAGATACACATGGAGGGTTTGACTCGTTGTTCAGATTTTTGGGTTTGAATCCTTTAGTATTTCTCGCTATCAGACCAGTCGTTAGTGATATCTATACTGCAAGAAGAGGTAGGAAAAGTTTTTTCTACAATCCAGATGACAGATTATTGTTGCTTTATTTATTTTTTCGTTACAACAAAATTGTACTTATTAGAAATCTTTGCATTCATTATATAAAAACAAACGAACAAATTGTTGGGGAAGTGAATGAAAGTGCTAAGCTGTTTAAAGTTGTCATGAAAGATTCGTTTATCATATTTAATAATGAAAATTTACAAGGAACAAATGTAAGTGCTATTGTTGATTGTACAATAACACCAACAAACGCTCCAAGTTGAAGTTTTTCTTCTAAGATGTCGTTCTACAGTGGTAAGTACAAGACGTATTGTATTAAAATTGAAGTTGTTGTTAACTCTGTTACTGGGACTGCATGTTTTGTTTCAGAAGGAGAACCAGGTGCTTCTCATGACATGAGATTGTTAAAAAAACTTCTGATGATATTAACTCCATGCTCAATGGTACCAAACTCATTGGCGACAAAGGTTATAAAGGAATTCAGTCGCTTATCCCCAATGGTTTTGTTCCAACAGAGTCTCCACTTTTGGAAAACAGATGTCTGGTTGAACGTTACTTTGGACGTCTCAAAACTGTTTATGCATTTGCCAGAGAGAAATACAACAAAGATACTGTAATATACGATGATCTAATATCTTTATATTGTTGTTTCTGTAACGTGGATATTGGAATAAACCCGCTTATCAACGTAGATCAGACAAATTATATAAATATTTTAGCAAATTTTGTGAATAAAATTGATGAAAGAAAAAAAAAGCACAGAGACAGCAACAGAGTTTATCGAAGAAGACAACAAGCTCAAATTTTTGCATTAGAAGAAGCAGAAAATCGGTCTCATTTATTTGAAGATGATCGTTATGATGGAGAAACAATATATACACCAGGTCAACTTGATGGCGATGAGACCGGGACGGAACCTTAACAATAAATGAACTGTTTTTGTTATTACAATTCGAATAATTTACTTAAAATAACGGGAATATTAAATGATCATGGGGTTATCATATTAAATTAAATAGATATCTAATTAATTGTTACAAAGTGAATAAGATCTAATCGTATTAAGAAAAAACAAAACACAAACAAAATAAAAAGATTAAACTTAAACTAACAAAACAATTGAATATAAACTAAATATAATTTATGTTTTTGGAAATGAACTAATAGAATACTACTAATATTCGGGATATAACATTAACTTTTAATCATTATTTATTCAATTTATTTAAATCTAGTCGATATGTTTGTTGCATTTGATATAATGTTTTGATATTTAAGATATCTATTACTACATAAATAATGTTGAATATATCATATTAGCCTTTGGTCTAATATATAAATTTCATAATTGGATTATTTTTTTTATACCAAAAAATCGTTTTGTGCATTTATTTTTTAAATAAAAATTTGAAAGCAAAACACAACAAAAATTACAACCAAAATAATAAAGAGTTGGTGGGAAAAGTCGGCTTTAGCAAATTATAGTAGAATATAATATTTATTGTTATAAATTCAAAAAACATTTTATGTTATTTTAAAAACATTAATTAAAAACAAAAAATAATCAAAAATATTTGAAAACCCAAACAATGGTTGAATTTTTTTGTATTCCCGTTAATAAAATTGATTTTTCGGATACATAAACGGTCAATTGCGACCACTTGATGTTTGTTTTTAAAAATGAAAATGATGATTTAGTAAGTATAAAAGAAAGCAAATATGAAAGTTATCAAACTAATCATTTGTATAATTATTTAATAAATACAACACAATTCAATAATAAAAAACTTAAATGTAGCATTTAGAAACTATTAACTTCTAACAACAAATTTGGACTTTAAAATATTAAAGAAGTCCACAAAATGCAGCGAATGTTTAAAAAATTACACATTCAATCCACCAAT